TCACAGACCAGTCCGCAATCTCGACAAGCTATTAGATTCTCTCTGTCATCCATTATATCTGACCCTGTACTTTCAGTGTCGGAACTATCGTCGCCCTTCATTTCTTCAGAGGTGTTGACTCCATTGCATGTCTGCAAAACATCAGTTCGCAGTCTTGACGATTCTGCCGTTCCGGGTTTCAGATCAACCAGGAGGAATCCGTAGGGTCTGCTAGTAGCCTCCTCAAATTTCCGTAGAAAGAAGCCCGACTAACATCTGTCGTCCTAGGGTCATGACGGGTTGTCGATCTATGGGATTGTTAAAGAGCACGAGGAAATGACAGTTTCTTCTCTGGGTAGGGTCCTTTCCAAAGTACAAGTGATGATTTAAAAACACTACCGACAAATGTCTGTGATGACTGCCTTCCGTAAATAGATCATTGATTCTTGAATCTTTAGCCGATGTGGACATCAGATCCTGCGAAATGATCATATTCTTCTTGTTGGGATCGAACAAGTCGTCGCTTTCTTAATCGACCGGGATACCGTGGAAATATTCCACTTGTGGGCTCACTGTTTTCTGTATTTCTCCATAGAGAGGCTGCCTTCTCTTGTACAACCAAACGATCCCATCTGGGCACGGATGGCACATCCTTCTTACTCGATGTGGCATGTTCCGCTTTCAAAGAACGGTGTTGCTGCTGTTGCTGCTGCTGAAGCTGAGGCTACTGCTGCTGCCACTTAGAAAATTCTCATTCCTCTTTCGGAGGAAGGAACTGCTGCTGCTGCTGTTGCTGCTGCGGCTGCTGTTGTTGTTGATGTTCCTGCTGCTGCTGCTGCTGCTGTTGTTGTTGATGTTGCTGCTGCTGCTGCTGCTGCTTCTGCTGCTGCGCATGTTTGTTTTTCATATGTCTTGGAAGATCATGTGGCCAAGCATACACGCTTCGACATAAGTTGCACTGAAACATCTTCACCTTTTCTGCATGTGCATACAATCTCCTCTTTTAGGTTTCTTGCGAAAATGCAGCAAGCAAAACAGGTGGTCATCCTTCGGGCGACATACTTTGAGATTATCATCCCTTAAGACGAATTCGATTCGGTGCAATTCGTTTCTGGTGACTTTGTGGTAAATTGGTTTTTTTCATATATGACGTCCGCGGTATCTTCGTTCAAAACCCCTGCCGATTGAAGTATCGGCAGAGACATTTCCCGGGCGTACGTGTCGATCACAAAGTGCGAGCAAAAGAAGACCCGTCTCGTTGGTATTAGAAAGGTCGGCACGAACGATGACTCTAGCAGTGCACAGTCCCATTCTCCGTCCAATACGTAGCTTTTGTGAAGTTGAATCGTACATGCGCCACCGTTATTATTTTCAAAAAGCGAAAGAGAACCCTCGCTCGATACGTAAAGGTAAAATTCATCCATCGTTTAGTTACAAGTTTTGCTTCATGCATTCTTACAGACGTTTGATAGGTTGATCAATGTATGTAATGATTTTTTTTTTATTTTTCGATTGATTTTCCAAATTTTTTGAATTTTTTTATTTTATTATTTTTTTTTTTAATCTTAAAAAGAATTATTATTATTTTTTTTTTTAATTTAATTTTGGTTATTTTTTCTATTTTTTCAAATTATGCATTTGAATTATTTGAATTTTTTGCATTTCAAAATTTTTTTACAATTTTTATAAAATGGTAAATTTTTTGGATTTTTGAATTTTTGAATATTTAAATTTTTTTATACTTTTAATTTTCCAATAAGGGAGACATGCCCTTGTATAATGAACGTACCACCAATGTCGACTTTGTGACTCATACGGATATCTGACTCGTCAAAGCTACACAACAAGACCAAATACGGACAACGTACATCTGGTGTGACTCATGGTATTGTCATGTGGTGCGTCATGCCCTGATCTTGCATCCTGATGACTCGTGGTATCGAAATGGTCGGATCGCATCATGACCAAATATGGCGGGCGTGCATTCGGTATGACTCATGGAATTGGCATGGTTCTACGTGAGTCATACTGTTATATTCATATCCAAATATGGTCAACATGCAGCCGTCGTGATTCATCTTCCTTACTTCCGGTGACGTCATAAGGTAGGGTATTTTTTTGGGGGGGTGGTATATGCCCATTTATCATATTATATAATATAAGGGGGCAGGACATGCCCATATTTGGCATTAAGGGGCGGGGCATGCCCATATTTGGGACAACCACAGCACCACGAGTTGTGGTGGGGGGTAAAATATCACAGACAAAACTACTACTACTCTGACTTAAGTTTTTCTTTATATTTCTTGACTCAGCTCTATGCATTGCCAAACATTATTTGCCAATTTTGAAAAAGTTTATTAAACATTTTATTTTTGTTGGGCCAAAACCGGGCATCGATGCCCCTACTCCTTTATTTTCGTGGTTCACCTTTTCCCACGAAATCAAAGACAAAAATATATCACATGAATCTACAGTACCATACTGGAAAAAAGACCAAATTAGTATTATCATTTTCTTTAACAACAAGTTTTTCAGTAACTAGAATACTCAGTCAATCCAAGATGCGGGGTTATTAGTCCAGCTTAACGGAAAGTTCTAGTTTTAACTTGAAATATTGTGTATTATTAAATACGCATTAACTATCATATCTAACCTAGCCTAAAGGTTTAGTGTGAGCTTTTTACAATATTAAGCGTCTGTCGTTTGTAGTCCGTAGTCGTCCGCCGCCATCATCCGTTTACTTTTACAAAAGATTTTCCTCACAAATGATCCGCTCATTATGATCTACTTATTAGTTATTGTCGTCAGATGACTGTTTATATTTTGTTGGTTTTTGCAGATAAATTTCTATATTTTGTTAAATAATCTAAAGTGTAAACAGCATTCCCTGTTATTTTATCAACTTTTCAACTAGAAATTAGGTGTTGTGTGAAATGGCTACTTTCGGCATCTGTCAAATAGTTCCTAAAATAACATTTTTTAGTAGAATAAACGTATAAACAATGTATAAACTATGTAAATGATTACCTTTCAAGACAAAAGTGTTTGAGTAAATTGATTTCTTCTTGAAAAAGCGGATTTCGTTTATCTTTTTGTTAAAGGCTTGAGAACTATATTATGTATCAATGCATAGTGCGCAACTTTTTTATGAATTAAAGTAGAAAGATGACATACCTCCAACTTTGGACCTCAATTAAAAAGGTCCGTAATTTTACCTACATGGGTCTTTGGGTCCAGGCAACCTTAGGCAATTGCCTATCCTTTGTACCTAGTGTGGACAAAAGTTTTGCCGTAGGGACCTTTTATGAATTAAAGAAGGGAGGGGTTAGGTCACCCTACCCCAAATTTGGACCTCAATTAAGAAAGTTCCGTAACTTTACCCACCTGGGTCTTTGGGTCCAGGCAACCTTAGGCAATTGCCTATCCTTTGTACCTAGTGCGGACAAAAGCTTTGCTGTAGGGACTTTTTTATGAATTAAAGAAGGGATGGGGTTGGGTCACCCTACCAAAACTTTTGACCTCAATTAAAAAAGTTCCGTAACTTAACCCACCTAGGTCTTTGGGTCCATGTAACCTTAGGGAATTGCCTATCCTTTGTACCTAATGTGGACAAAATCTTTGCCGTAGAGACTTTTTTATGAATTAAAGAAGGGAGGGGGGTTGTGTCAACCTTCCCCAACTTTGGACCTCCATTTAAACACTACCCCAACTTTGGACCTCAATTAAAAAAGTTCCGTAACTTTACCGACCTGGGTCTTTGGATCCAGGCAACCTTAGGCAATTGCCTATCCTTTGTACCTAGTGTGGACAAAAGTTTTGCCGTAGGGACTTTTTATGAATTAAAGAAGGGAGGTGGTTGGGTCACCCTACCCAAAATTTTAAACTCAATTAAAAAAGTTCCGTAACTTTGCCTACCTGGGTCTTTGGATCCAGGCAACCTTAGGCAATTACCTATCTTTTGTACCTAATGTGGATAAAAGTTTTGCCGTAGGGACTTTTTTATGAATTAAAGAAGGGAGGGGGTTGGGTCACCCTACCCCAACTTTGGACCTCAATTAAAAAAGTTCCGTAACTTTATCCACCTTGATCTTTGGGTCCAGGCAACCTTACGCAATTGCCTATCCTTTGTACCTAGTGTGGACAAAAGCTTTGCCGTAGGGACTTTTTTATGAATTAAAGAAGGGACGGGTTGGGTCACCCTACCCCAACTTTGGACCTCAATTAAGAAAGTTCCGTTACTTTACCCACCTGGGTCTTTGGGTCCAGGCAACCTAAGGCAATTGCCTATCCTTTGTACCTAGTGTGGACAAACGTTTTGCCGTAGGGACTTTTTATGAATTAAAGAAGGGAGGTGCTTGGGTCACCCTACCCCAAATTTTGACCTCAATTAAAAAAGTTACGTAACTTTACCTACCTGGGTCTTTGGATCCAGGCAACCTTAGGCAATTGCCTATCCTTTGTACCTAGTGTGGACAAACGTTTTGCCGTAGGGACTTTTTATGAATTAAAGAAGGGAGGTGCTTGGGTCACCCTACCCCAAATTTTGACCTCAATTAAAAAAGTTACGTAACTTTACCTACCTGGGTCTTTGGATCCAGGCAACCTTAGGCAATTGCCTATCCTTTGTACCTAGTGTGGACAAAAGTTTTGCCGTAGGGACTTTTTATGAATTAAAGAAGGGAGGTGGTTGGGTCACCCTACCCCAAATTTTAAACTCAATTAAAAAAGTTCCGTAACTTTGCCTACCTGGGTCTTTGGATCCAGGCAACCTTAGGCAATTGCCTATCTTTTGTACCTAATGTGGACAAAAGTTTTGCCGTAGGGACTTTTTTATGAATTAAAGAAGGGAGGGGGTTGGGTCACCCTACCCCAACTTTGGACCTCAATTAAAAAAGTTCCGTAACTTTATCCACCTTGATCTTTGGGTCCAGGCAACCTTACGCAATTGTCTATCCTTTGTACCTAGTGTGGACAAAAGCTTTGCCGTAGGGACTTTTTTATGAATTAAAGAAGGGACGGGTTGGGTCACCCTACCCCAACTTTGGACCTCAATTAAGAAAGTTCCGTTACTTTACCCACCTGGGTCTTTGGGTCCAGGCAACCTTAGGCAATTGCCTATCCTTTGTACCTAGTGTGGACAAACGTTTTGCCGTGGGGACTTTTTATGAATTAAAGAAGGGAGGTGCTTGGGTCACCCTACCCCAAATTTTGACCTCAATTAAAAAAGTTACGTAACTTTACCTACCTGGGTCTTTGGATCCAGGCAACCTTAGGCAATTGCCTATCCTTTGTAGTAGTGTGGACAAACGTTTTGCCGTAGGGACTTTTTATGAATTAAAGAAGGGAGGTGCTTGGGTCACCCTACCCCAAATTTTGACCTCAATTAAAAAAGTTACGTAACTTTACCTACCTGGGTCTTTGGATCCAGGCAACCTTAGCCAATTGCCTATCCTTTGTACCTAGTGTGGACAAACGTTTTGCCGTAGGGACTTTTTATGAATTAAAGAAGGGAGGTGCTTGGGTCACCCTACCCCAAATTTTGACCTCAATTAAAAAAGTTACGTAACTTTACCTACCTGGGTCTTTGGATCCAGGCAACCTTAGGCAATTTCCTATACTTTGTACCTAGTGTGAACAAAAGCTTTGCCGTAGGGACTTTTTATGAATTAAAGAAGGGAGGGGGTTGGGTCACCCTACCCCAAATTTGGACCTCAATTAAAACCCTACCCAAACTTTGGACCTCAATTAAAAAGTTCCGTAACTTTACCCAACTGGGTCTTTGGGACCAGGCAACCTTAAGCAATTGCCTATACTTTGTACCTAGTGTGAACAAAAGCTTTGCCGTAGGGATCTTTTTATGAATTAAAGAAGGGAGGGGGTTGGGTCACCCTACCAAAACTTTTGACCTCAATTAAAAAAGTTCCGTAACTTTACCCACCTAGGTCTTTGGTCCATGCAACCTTAGGCAATTGCCTATCCTTTGTACCTAGTGTGGACAAAAGCTTTGCCGTAGGGACTTTTCTATGAATTAAAGAAGGGAGGGGGTCGGGTCACCCTACTCCAAATTTGGACCTCAATTAAAACCCTACCCAAACTTAAGACCTCAATTAAAAAAGTTCCGTAACTTTACCCACCTAGGTCTTTGGGTCCATGCAACCTTTGGCAATTGCCTATCCTTTGTACCTAGTGTGGACAAAAGCTTTGCCGTAGGGATTTTTTATGAATTAAAGAAGGGAGGTGGTTGGGTCACCCTACCCCAACTTTGGACCTCAATTAAAAAAGTTCCGTAACTTTAACCACCTGGGTCTTTGGGTCCAGGCAACCTTAGGCAATTGCCTATCCTTTGTACCTAGTGTGGACAAAAGCTTTGCTGTATGGACTTTTTTATGAATTAAAGAAGGGAGGGGGGTGGGTCACCCTAACCCAACTTTGGACCTCAATTAAAAAAGTTCCGTAACTTTACCTACCTGGGTCTTTGGGTCAAGGCAACCTTAGGCAATTGCCTATCCTTTGTATCTAGTGTGGACAAAAGCTTTGCGTAGGGACTTTTTTATGAATTAAAGAAGGGAGGTGGTTGGGTCACCCTACCCCAACTTTGGACCTCAATTAAAAAAGTTCCGCAACTTTACCTACCTGGGTCTTTGGGTCCAGGCAACCTTAGGCAATTGCCTATCCTTTGCATCTAGTGTGGACAAAAGCTTTGCCGCAGAGACTTTTTTATGAATTAAAGAAGGGCGGGGTTGGGTCACCCTACCCAAACTTTGGACCTCAATTAAAACCCTACCCAAACTTTGGACCTAAATTAAAAAGTTCCGTACTTTACCCACCTGGGTCTTTGGGTCCAGGCAACCTTAGGCAACTGCCTATCCTTTGTACCTAGTGTGGACAAAAGCTTTGCCGTAGGGATTTTTTGTGAATTAAAGAAGGGAGGGGTTGGGTCACCCTACCCCAACTTTGGACCTGAATTAAACAAGTTCCGTAACTTTACCCACCTAGGTCTTTGGATCCAGGCAACCTTAGGCAATTGCCTATCTTTTGTACCTAATGTGGACAACAGTTTTGCCGTAGGGACTTTTTTATGAATTAAAGAAGGGAGGGGGTTGGGTCACCCTACCCCAACTTTTGACCTCAATTAAAAAAGTTCCGTAACTTTATCCACCTTGATCTTTGGGTCCAGGCAACCTTAGGCAATTGCCTATCCTTTGTACCTAGTGTGGACAAACATTTTGCCGTAGGGACTTTTTATGAATTAAAGAAGGGAGGTGCTTGGGTCAACCTACCCCAAATTTTGACCTCAATTAAAAAAGTTACGTAACTTTACCTACCTGGGTCTTTGGATCCAGGCAACCTTAGGCAATTGTCTATCCTTTGTACCTAGTGTGGACAAAAGCTTTGCTGTATGGACTTTTTTATGAATTAAAGAAGGGAGGGGGGTGGGTCACCCTAACCCAACTTTGGACCTCAATTAAAAAAGTTCCGTAACTTTACCTTCCTGGGTCTTTGGGTCAAGGCAACCTTAGGCAATTGCCTATCCTTTGTATCTAGTGTGGACAAAAGCTTTGCGTAGGGACTTTTTTATGAATTAAAGAAGGGAGGGGGTTGGGTCACCCTACCCCAACTTTGGACCTCAATTAAAAAAGTTCCGTAACTTAACCTACCTGGGTCTTTGGGTCCAGGCAACCTTAGGCAATTGCCTATCCTTTGTATCTAGTGTGGACAAAAGCTTTGCCGTAGAGACTTTTTTATGAATTAAAGAAGGGAGGGGGTTGGGTCACCCTACCCAAACTTTGGACCTAAATTAAACAAGTTCCGTAACTTTATCCACCTAGGTCTTTGGGTCCAGGCAACCTTTGGCAATTGCCTATTCTTTGTATCTAGTGTCGACAAAAGTTTTGCCGTAGGGACTTTTTTATGAATTAAAGAAGGGAGGGGGTTGGGTCACCCTACCCCAACTTTGGACCTCAATTAAAAAAGTTCCGTAACTTTAATCACCTGGGTCTTTGGGTCCAGGCAACCTTAGGCAATTGCCTATCATTTGAACCTAGTGTGGACAACAGCTTTGCCGTAGGGATTTTTTATGAATTAAAGAAGGGAGGGATTTGGTCACCCTACCCCAACTTTGGACCTCAGTTGTAGAAGTTCCGTAACTTTACTCACCTGGGTCTGTGGGCCAGACAACCTCAGGTAATTGCCTATCATTTGCTTTATCATACTTTTGAATAATTTTTAAAAAGTTACTAGTTCTTTTACAAAAGAAGAAAACTGCGTATAGTTATCAGCTTTTATTTCAAATGAAAATCTGACAAAAAATACTTGACGTTCCAAAATAAATCTGTTTTTTCTTCTTATCTTTTTAAACGCAAATATATAAGCTAGAAGATTTAATTTTATCGTTACACTAGTTTAGTATGAACTATATTATAATTGTTATTAATTGTTTCACTATAATAAAGACGACAAACCCATCTCTAATTAGAGAACACGATGTAGAGAAAGGATTAGCTAAAAGGAATTTTAGATGCCCGACTTTAAACAAAAAATGTATTAAATAAACAAATAACTACTAGTAATCCATTTTGTATTTGTGAAAATGAATTGCATTTAGTCTTCTTACTGGAAATGATTGTTTTCAGATTTCAAAGGACGTTTCATGTTATTACAAGTCTTCGGTTTTTAGGAATAATCAGGTTGGCGCGTTTTCTTATTGTTCGCTGGCTTATTGTTCGCTAGCTTGAGTCTGGTGACGTTTGATGAGGTTGATACAATGATAAATCACTGTATCAACTGATATCAAAAGTCAACAATTGTTTTATTATATTACTTTTTTTATCCATCTCCAATTTCTAGTATTTGCTTCAGATATTAAACTGCTTAGACGTTGCCTAGGAAAAACTATTTATAGGTACACATTAGCCGTTCCAAATCTTATATTAACCTCTCCTGATTTTCCCCCGGTGAATAGAACGTTTTATTAAGGAAGATTCCCTACGCTTTTAGCTAATGAGAAAAAATAATTTAAAAAAAAAATAACGATTTCGAGTTCATTAGTATTTTGATTTTTATATTGATTTTTCGTTTTATTGATTTTTCTACTGTTATTGAGAACTTCGTCCTCATATTAAGATACTAATTCACAGCAGAATGAGAGAACATACAGTACAATGTACAGCTCACATAGTTTTTGTTAATCACCATCCTGCTCACTCAAATTTCACTTAAGGGTATGTGTTGCCGCTAACTGGTTTCGGTTTCTGATATGTTTGATAAACCTTCTGTTTGTTTTGAACCGAAACTGGTTTGACACTTGTTTTTTGATAACCAAATCTAGTTTCCTCAAATTACTATGTGGTTTGAACAGTTTAACAGACAAATATCAAAACTTGTTATTTGTTTCGAAACTGGTTAAACAAAACCGGGTTTAAACTTGTTTTTAACCATTCAAAAACCGAAATCGTTTTGCCCTCTGTTACATCGCTTAAGAATACTAAATGTTCAACCTACGCATCCCATGGTACAGCAAGAGACCGAGGGTATGCCAACGGTCGATTTAATGTATTGTTCCAGGTTTTCGTTGGTTCTCCAATATTATCAGTTTCACCAACCATTACACTAGATTCTATAAATTGTTCTTGTTTTGATGATCTGTAAATTGAAAAAATCTCAGATGATTATTTAATTGTCACATGTATAACATATCAAACCTATTACTCACAAAGTATACCTAGTTGTTTTCGATGAAGGTTACATGTACATAACATACATGTACATAACATACATGTACATAACATACTTTTCTTCGAAAAAAACTTCTTCAAAACTTTTTAAACATTATACTAAGTTTGGAAACGAAATAATAAAAGAATAGGTACACGCTTTAATGACGATATAGAAAATAGTAAGACTACATGTATTAACACAATCTATAACTACATTAACTACATGTACTGACAACTAAAAGAGGAACAAAAAAAGAACAACAACACAAAACCTCGAGAAAGAAAAACGTGTCATTGAAATCTATTCTTATAATATCATGGTGGCCAATAATGTTAACATATCAAGTAGACTTCGAGTATCGGGTAGACTGTCCACCCTTCGAGTATCGGTTGACTGTCCACCCTTCGAGTATCGGGTAGACTGTCCACCCTTCGAGTATAGGGTAGACTGTCCACCCTTCGAGTATCGGTTGACTGTCCACCCTTCGAGTATAGGGTAGACTGTCCACCCTTCGAGTATCGGGTAGACTGTCCACCCTTCGAGCATCGGTTGACTGTCCACCTTATTATGCAATTGTTATGGCGTGTCCCAACTCGAAATCGTAATTTAGAAGTAATATGATAAAACTGGGGCGTAAGGCAGATGTCATTAAATACACCAACTACCAACAGCATTCAACATATCAAAAGACAAATCAAAGTAACAAACATAAACTGAGAGAATCGAATGAACTCCAAAAGGAGCGAGACCGGTTGCGTCAACAAGGTAGTCGTCTCCCGCTATGTATGCATGGAAATATAGCTCTATAAATTGTTAATACATTGTAGGAAGAGAATTAAACAAAATAATCAACAAAAGACTAAAACAAACTATACCTTGCAAATATCAGTCCTCGACAGCTATCTGCTGACCTGAAAAATAAGCTAAAATAAATATGCTGATATATTTTATTTAAAACCATTGACTACCAAACTCATGTAAAAGAGACAAAAATGTATCCTTCTGTAGTATCTGCTAATTACTAGTAGTAATTTAAGCTTAGCATGGCATAGGTTATCCACCATTTCGGGTACATTTGTACCTGGCCATCAGACTAATAGAAAAATCAAAATACTACGAGCAAATTACATTTTTTTTTTTAACTGGGGCTTACGAACCAATAAAACCACTGGTTGACGACAAAAAAAAAACAAAAACAACAAAAAAAAAAACAACAAAAAACAACAAAAATTTATACATATATTGTTGTATATATTCGTATAGTACTTTTTTTTTAAATTTCTGCAATGCTCTTCAACTTCGTACTTTATTTGGCCTTTTTAACTTTATTTTTTATTCGAGCGTCACTGATGAGTCTTTTGTAGACGAAACGCGCGTCTGGCGTAAATACAAAATTTCAATCCTGGTATCTATGATGAGTTAATATACATGTAATAACATATTTGAATGTGTGAGGTACTCACGGTAAACAAAACTCCAAAATAGGAATAAAACAATAAATTTGGAAGGATCCGTTTCCTTTCAAGGTTTATTTTTTTTTCACAAGTTCTGAACAATAATACTGTTAGTCTTTATAATTCTAAAAAATGCATTTCGTATTGAATAAACACGTTACAGTCCTAGGATCATTTACGCGATTAGTGAAAACATGACCAAGTCAGGAATATGACAGTTGTTTTCCATTCGTGTGATGTGTTTGAGCTTTTGATTTTGCCATTGATAAAGTACTTTCCGTTTTAAATTAACCTTGGAGTTCAGTTTTTTGTTATTTTACTTTTCTTCATGGGGGTTTTCCGGATCATACATTGTGTTCATTTTGAATAAAAACAATGTATTTCTCAAAAGATTTTTCAGGACAAGAATTTGTTTTTTTCTTTTATTATTTTCAATAGAAATAAACTTTTCCCGTTTCCTTCTGAAAGTTTTTTTTCTAATGAAATTTAGATTAAAAATATATTTTGATAAAATCCATCCCCCCCCCCCCCCCACCCCCCCTCATATGAATGGTCGGTGCTTTACAAAATTCACTCACGAGTAATGTTTCAAAACAATAAATCCTCCCCTAATCCAACTGTTCTGTATTCTATTTTTCCAACCTAAATGATAAATATTCATTTTTTCAAATAAATGACTAAACAAAATAATATACATTTTGTTTGTACCAACACGCCTTTTTCAACATACACATTTAAAAATCATTTTGCTGTTGGGTGAATTAAATTTGAAGTAAAAAATTTAGACAATACACTTAAGAAGAGAGAATGAAAACGGGAAATATGCCTAAGCGACAACAATCCGACCAAAAAGCAAAACAAAAAAGAACAGTCCAGTGCACCCAATAGGTCTTCAACGCATCCAGAAAATCCCGCATCTGGAGGCGAGCACCAGCTGGCCCCTTAACAACAATGTATAATAGTTCAGCGAAACGGAACTTTGAATCTTTCACTTAAAAATTGAGATATGGTTTTTTTCTTGAAGCAAGTGTAAAAACAGTTCAGTCTGGAGTAATCTTTTTATGACTGATAAACTATTTCAGTAAGCCTGTATTTGTTTACCAGTCAATAAAATAGTTATACAGAAAACAAAATACCGACCAACATCGTGATCACAAAACAGACAAACTACGGTAAAAAAGTTTTATACAGAAAACAAAATATTCATCAAAACGATCTTAACCGTAATACCGGAAGTGAACTCAGTTGCCCCGGAAACTGTTGTTTACATTTCTACATACATGTCATTTTGTTTATGTATACTGGATCATCTTCTGCGTATTTGTTCTTTGGATCAGTGGGAATTGTTCTAGGATAATATCCATTGACGCCATACACCTTAAGATCATTATGTTCAATACTACCATCCATAAAAAATCCTGTCTAATGAAAATTTTGACATAAAAAAGATAATTACAACGCATATGAAAATAGTATTGAAAGTAAACAAATGCCTAAATGATTAGCGCAAGCAGTTAGTCGATTTTTCATTCATTCTTTGTTATAATTATACAAGTTTCTACAGACTGTACTTGCTTCACATGCGTACAATCGAACTCGTTAAAAGCGGAAGTTGTATTTAGCTTTTTGATATCTGTATACTTGATGTAAATGTTCTTTTATAATGAAAATAGTACGTTCATTTAAATTTGAAACGCCAAAGGAAAGGACGAATATACTGATTTTGAACACGTTAAAATCATACTTCGTCACATAGAACAACAAAATGAGTTTGTTTTAAACTTTCAGAGGCGTGATACGGTCTCTACACTAAGCATCAAATGCAATGTCTCTGTTTCAACCGGACATGGTGGTGTATTTATACATCCTGCACAACCATACAGACACCCCTTTATCTTGTGTTTTACTGCTGAAAGAAGAAGTCAAGTTGACCATATTTCTAGACCTCAGTCACATTTTATCTTACATAAGAATACTTACCACTAAATTTGAATGTGCTACGTTGTTGGATATTTCTGTTATCTTTGTGTGTTTGGCTTCATATTTCTTCATAAATCCTAAACTTTCAGAATCCCCTGTAGGTTCATCCGGGAATATTATCCAGAAGCCATCTTCCTTTTATGTATATATCAGATATTGTTATAACATTAACGGTACAAATTTTACTGCACCAGATGTGCAAGTAATGTCTCTTAAGTGATGCCCGAGGACAAAGTATTTGAAAATCCACAACTTATTCAAAAATTAAAGAGCTGATAAAACAAAAAAGAACAACAAGTATAGTAAAAGTCTGGCAAGAAATCAGAGCTTTGCATGAGGGAGATATATCCAAATTTCCAAATAAATTACAATTTATGATCAGCAAATTTCTAATGGTTATTCGTAGGATAATTATGTTCATGGATTTCCAAGGTATATGTGTGCAACACATCTGCACGTGTAACAAAATACACATTTCCTATAGGCTTGTATTAATAATTGTTCAATATAATGAAATCAAGTATCTACAAAAACATGTTTCCCTCCATCATGTGAATGATAATTTGAACCAATAAAACAAATGAATGCACAGCATGTACATGTACATTATGTGTATGAAAATAAATAAATTAATTGGTCAATGCTTTCAAAATTTGGTGACTATGTTGAACGCATTTATCCCATCGAACTTGAGATAAAGGATACAACATATACAGTTAAGTTTGTCTTATATCTTGACTTACATCTAGAAATTTACAATGAGGGTCGGTTGAAATAAAACTTTACGACAAAAGAGATGATTTCAGCTTCCCAATTGTGAACTTTCCTTTTCTATGTAGCAACATTCCAGCAGCGCCTGCATACGGAGTATATATCTCCCAGTTGAAGCTCCAGGGCTTGTATTTCCTATCATGATTTCTTTGATAGAGGGTTGCTACTACTCACTAGTAAGCTATTAAATCAAGAATTCCAATTGGTGAAGTTGAAATCATTCCTTTGTAAATTTTACGGATGCCATCATGAGTTGGTAGAATCAGGTGTTGCAGGGATTACCGATTTGATTCTAAACGAATTAAAAATCTTCAGTTTGTTAAATTCTTGAAAATGGAAATAAGTATTTGCATTTGTCTTGAACGTTCCATCGATAAAATTGAAAACTTTACATTTTTTATACCATTTATTCAATGTTTATTTTGCTAGATTTTACGGAAATGTAATGGAGTTTGTCTTACTATAATTGTATATGATGGGCAATAATTTCAAACTAGAAATAACTTAATTTTATGAAACCCGTTGATCGATTTGATGAAAAATGAAGAGGAAAAAAATAAGCAGATTTAAGAAAGGTATCTGATGAAAAATTTATTTGAACGGTATTTTGGTGCAACACTTTTTGAAACACCAGTTTGATGACAAATATACTTGTTAACTTTAAAAAGAGCCTTCGATACGGAAAAAACACATATTTACATACATTATTGACTTGTGAACGAGACTTGTACAAAATTTATAAACAGCTTATTGGGTCCAATTTCAATTCTCGTGAACGCAAATCCGTTATTTTATCACGGTTAGTAATTCAAATTTGGTTAACATGTCTGTAATGGTACAGGTAATGCATGTTTATTTGAAATATTTTGTTCGTGTCACACATAAGTTTTGAGCTACAGATAAAAAAGTGGTTAATAATCCTATACGTAGATACTATTTTGTTTTAAATATGTACTACTCTCGGGTATGTATATTTTTACCGTGCCGGAGTTGATGGTCTACCCGAATTATTTGCATTATTTCCTGCCAACTTATCTAACACATATCTCGTGGTTGTCTAAATGTCTGTATTGTTTTTGCACGCTTCAGTGTGTTTGTATGTGTTGATTATGACAATAAATGTTTGATATCTTTGCCAGATTAATGTTATTGATATTACTCCATGGCTTTGTTCTTCAATTAACAGTTTCCACTTAAACCGGTACTAGGGATAGTCTTAAACTTCCAGTGAGGTGAGATTTTTGTTTTGTTGTGTGTCAGAAGCCTCACTGTGACTTTGAGATGAAGAACAACAATAAAAGGGCTGTTCCTTTAATTTTTTGTGTTTTTAGCTATGCACATATGATGCATGTACTGATTTTGTAGCATATGGATGGATACTTCATATCCTTTCTTTTCTACTATAGGATATTTTAATAATAATAATGACTCAATTAAATGACATACCACTGAACCAGCGGCTACATTGTTGCGTATAACAGTAAGAGGATTTGTTATCCAGAACGAGGCTGGTGTGCTGAAAAGAAACTTAAGGTGATACATAAACCATGTAAGATTTGATATGTGGACAGATGATAAATTTTATAGGCCGTAAGATATATATATGCATAAAAAAAAATTTCTGGTTCTGTATGGAAAAACATAAATTTGTAAATACATATAAAGAAAAATACTCATCAAAGATACCAGGCTCAAAATATGTTGATCGAATAAATACCAAAATAAATTACAAAGCCTTGTTAATGATACTACATTATAAGTTAAAACCTTGTCCAATGAAAAGCTAACAAGTTGGACTTGCGATAAACTGGTGACGCTTGTTGTTTGTATTTGTTGTTTTTTTCTTCTTTTTCCTTTTTTTTATGTTGTTTCGTTTTGTTTGTTGGTTGCTTGTTCTTTTATAAGTTAGTTTATCCATTTCTTTGCCTTTTTCTGTTTATGCTTGCAGATTAGGCCTCTGAAAAATTTAACAATTAAGCAAATCAAGTACTATTCTATAACAACTTCTCTTTAACCTGAAGCTTTTTACATCGTACATGTCGATACAAAGCAGCCCCACAAGTAAAGACAATACCTTACCTGTCTGAGGCAATGAGTTTTCCTTTACGTGTGCACGCTACCAAGTTGCCATCAATTACTGTCCTCTTTTCTCCTCCGTCCTCCAAGAAAATGGAATGACCCAGTGTATCATAACATACGTTATCTTCAACCTACATAGTAAAACGTAGTTCATCAAAAGATAACAAAAGAGGTTAAATAATAAGAAGATGTTCATTCTCCGATAAGAAGCACAATACAATAATTATGCATGACATGTCTAAGACAAAATCCAACAATAAAGTAAACAGTACAAACGGATTGAACTAATACTAATAATATACTAGTTTATGTTTTTGAATACCCATATATCATATGCACCCATTAAAGTAAAAGTAAAGTTAAGTAATCTTTATCAAATTAACATAGAACATATAGCTCTTTAGAGCTCTTTAACCCACTGTTATATAACATAATTAATCAATGGAAATAGCAACAGATACATATACAGCACATCCAATCAATAGAAACAGCACATATTAATAAATACAAAGCCCATACACCCTCCACAAAAGATTCGCAATTATGAGTTTCATATGTAATTTGATTGCAGAGTGGACCAAGAAACAAGGCAGTGATAGACTGATTTATTGTTCTTGTTTACATAAAGTCCAGTGACAAATATGTCATGTAGATACTAATTTAGCTTTATAAAAGTAGTTTATGAAGAAATGCAATTGTCACTGGGCGTTAAGCGAAATCCGCATAAACAAACAAAGTCAGTCGGGAGAAGTCTAGATGTGCATATTTTTAAACCTGAGTCGACCGAGGGAGGGGTTTACATCTCCCTAGAAACAAAACGTTGAATAACCAACAACGTAAAAAACTGTACCGTTATGCCATGTGAACCGTGGATTGTCATACATCTTGCAAACGCTCTGTAGATAGAGTTTTTCTTTAGGTATGGTGGATTAGGATAATTTCCGTCATCAGTGTCGTGACACATGTGGAAATGTAGAGGATAGTTTCCTGGAAAACAAAAAAATGTCATAATTGAATAATGGTTAGTGTATAAACAGATATAATAATAAAAAGTAACCATCTATGGTTGATTGGTTGGTTTTTATTTGTTTAACATTCAGTGGCAAATATTCCATGCATATTCAAGATGGGAACAAACTGACAACAATGTACGGTGATTCAAACCCAAACAAAACATTGGATATCTTCATAAAAAAATACAAATACATTCTACAACATCTTGAACTTTTTTTCCGGTTTATTAGTCTGCTTTATGTGTGTGTGTGTTTGTGTTTTAGTTTTTCAACCGGGTCAACCGTTCAGGAGATATACGGTCCTTGGCTGATTTTAAAATGACACTGTGTTCCGTTACCGCACAATAACTTAAGACCTGTTAAACCAATGTTTTTTTTCTAATTTTGATGTCTTATTACTGATGACAAAATGGAGATCAAGTCTGATTTTTACGATTTTCAATTTTGCCGTTCATGAGTTAAAGCCCTTCATGGCTTTAATAATGACCCTTATAAATGTGATAAAAATCTGGTTTGAACAGATTTTGACATCTTGCTCATGTTTGCTTTTTGTTTGGAAGCTAGAGGTTTTTTTAGTGTTTATTAGCGAGCAAAAACTGTATTCAAGCTTGATTTTTAACGCTGTCTTTTTTGTGTTTAATTTTTCATGCTAGCTGTTTTTATTCCCTTTAGCTGTTATGTACTCTCGGCGATAAAACTGTATATTAACATGTAATATTTCCCTACATGCATATAAATAAAAAGAGATATACTTTGTATTTTACTCTGTGTCGTTACAATAGTTTTACTGTGTGGTTTTACCTTACCTATTTCAGTGGCTTGCCCTACGTTTTCTAGCTCCACGCCTTCTATGTGTACGTTCTTAAAATTTCTTAAAATCTACAAATAACTTGAAAAATTCACATATACACTGAGTGATTTATACACCTAAATATTTCAAAACTGCACTAAACACTTCAAAAATCAGAGAGACTATTCATTTTTAGTTTTGTTCATCGTAGAATGCTTTATACTGACCCGTAGTTGTCCTTGTCCTGTTGTCAGTGGTGAATCATTGTCTCAATGACAACCCTATCTCATTTCTATACATATAATTATGTAATAGGTCTTTTATTTTATATAATATCTGTATTATCGTAAAGCATATACAATAAAACTTGTGACAAACAAAGTACAGTTATTTCGAAATATTGTTACACAATACTGACAAAATGTTTTTAAAACAAAAATGTTTTAAAACATACCAAAGAACATAATTTTATCGTTATCTAATCCGAACATCATTTTACCGTTATCTAATCCGAACATCATTTTACCGTTATCTAATCCGAACATCATTTTACCGTTATCTTTTCCGAACATCATTTTACCGTTATCTAATCCGAACATCGTTTTATCGTTATCTAATCCGAACATCATTTTATCGTTATCTAATCCGAACATCATTTTATCGTTACCTAATCCGAACATAATTTTATCGTTATCTAATCCGAACATCATTTTACCGTTTTCTAATCCAAACATCATTTTACCGTTTTCTAATCAAAAGTTGCAATGCATGTCATACTACATAAGAATTTATGATTTATCTGATTGCTTTACGTCCAGTGGCAAGTATTATGATTTATCTGATTGCTTTACGTCCAGTGACAAGTATTTATGCACATTCAGGACGAATTGTTTTTATCTGAATTGAATCTGTTCAAATACAATGCTAAACATGTACTATAATTTGTTCTACTTCAATATTACATGAAGTTATTCCGATATACTTATATAACGCAGTCATTGTTTAGATTTAATTGGATAGAGCACAGCTAAACAAGCGCAATGTACGCATTGTAATTTCTGATAGTGTAAGGTTAATTATGACACATTAAGCATCCACTTACCTGGATTTGACCGCCAAACGTGTCATAAGGATAATCTTTACAGTTTTTATTGGCTGTAGGACAATTGTTCTCCATTTCTCCTTTGACCTTGATATTACGGGTCAGCAAAGCTACCTCTCCGCGCATGTCAATGTTGTTTTCCAGTTTTGACCAATGGGTGTATCGAGGAGCAACTGAAATAGATAGATCAGCGAAATTCTGATACAAAGCAAATCCGTATATTAAACTGTTTATTAAGAAAGAAATTAGCGAAAGAAAAAAATCAAAGAAGGTCTCAAATCATCGAAGAAGAAGGTCATACAGTCCTGTTACAATGGGTCAAGTTAAGATTCATGCAGCGGTGTCGCAATCACTTTTTGCTATTTTAAATGATATGACATGTGCTTTTAAACGAACCTTTAAATGTGCTAGAAAGTTTTGCAGTCTTACTATAAGCAGGCATTCGAGGACAAATGAGTAATTTATATATTTGTTAAATTTACATAGGTAAGCAAAGAAAGAACGGGTATTTAATTTATATTGATTTTTTTTAGCCAAAAACATAAGTACTTGGTGTTCATAGCTTTCCACTGCACTCCTATTTTTAGCTAATCTTGATCCTACTTCTAAACCCACACTTAGCTACCCCCATTTATGAATTTGTTCACCCGCCTTCCTTCCTATCAATCGTTGTGGACATTTTTGTTAACTCACGGCTAATTCCTATCTGTTTCTGGTTACAGTTCTGACAAAACTGGACAATTCCTTCTTCAGCCTGGTCCATATCAAAATCTGTAGAAGTTAACAGCACCTTGTCTCCTGAAAACAGACAACTTGTGAAGAATACCGCTGTGAACGACTATTTTGTCAGTCAGCGCATATATAAAAATAGATGATTAATCAATTAATTAACTAATCAAAGTCAATCGGCCATGCATACTTTTAAACATATTCAAGGCGATTACTTGTTGAAATGTGAAGAATGTGAATCCTGCTTGTTCTAAGCAAACATTCCTCGACGGCGTTCCAATTTGTTCATTACTGCATTAACATATCATATATTCCAGGTATGAAATCCGATTCTTTCAAATAACTGTTAACTATGTCGCTTCTCATGGCGGTTATTTTATTGTAAGAGAAGTAAGTGTATCATTGTTCTGATTGTTCCTACCAATATATGCTGCATGTTAACCGGTGAAGTGTTGCGCTATTAAATTAATAAATATAATTATGAAACGATAAAAGTTATGACTTAGTTTAATATTGATATAAACATTACTAGTATAATAAAAAACGTATAACAAAAATACCGAACTCCAAGGTTAATATCAAAAGAGAGAGTCCATAAAAACTGATAAAATCACACGTTATCAACCAACGGAACGAATAAAAACAACTGTTACATTCCTGATTTGGTAAAGCATTTTCCAGAAAAATCGGTGGGTTAAACCTGGTTAGATAGCTACATGGAGGTAAACCTCCCCCTTGTATGACAGTTGTTTATAGTTCCGTTATATTTACAAAATTGGATGAGCAACCCCCCCCAAAAAAAAATCATAATAGGTAAATGTGACAATAATTGGGACCAGGCAGCTATAACTGTGTAAACATACATCACAGACATACAACACAACTTACAAAAAAATTAAAACATAGAAATAAATCTTACAAAGAGGTCAACAAAAAAGTTTTGTAGTTGATAGTATATTTGACAAAGATGTCAACAAATGTTTTTGTAAGTGATGGTAAATTGACAAAGACGCAGACAAAAAAGGTTTTGTAGTTGATGATGCATACCGTTTCTAGATTACACTTTCTCGATAAAGTGCAAATTAAGTAAAATATAAATGCAAGGGTAAACATATTAATGGAAACAACACTGTAGATACCTAATACGTCCGAATCGCACCTCATAACCCACCTAAACCAGGAACGCTCAAAGTCAAAATCCCGATAGCGGGATGCATAAATACCGAGTCACATCAAAAGTCATTCGACCAAAGAAACATCAATAATAACATGTAGATACTGCTGGGTAAAATGAGAAGAATGTCGAAATAATACTCAGGTGGAGGTTGTTCTCATCATTATTATCGTAAATATCGGTTGTGTCAATTGTTATCATACACATATCCTTTTTTTTATAACCTTGGCATACATTCATAAATGTAACCTTGTTTTTAGTTTAATTAGTGCAGTTCTAAGACCAAAAAAACAAACCTGGTTCCCAGCTGTGTACGTTGTCAACCAAGTCAATGATTGGATAAATCCTGTCATATTCATATATTATAAAGTCTACATCTGTTTCCCCAGGAGAACCAGGCTTTACTCTACTGATGACCTGAATTTGTTGATTAGCATCTTTAAAATCCATGGAAACGGTAGCTATTCGTACCTCTTTTGCTGAATTGTCCAATCTCTCTATCGCTGAATCGGGTTTACCTATGTACAATGATGCATTTTAAACAAAATTATTTGAATTGGCTATGGGTTTCCGTCAATGTATAAGTTGATAAAACATCAAACAAACAAAGGAGCAATATTTGCCAAATTTGATCAGTATAGCTGCGAACAGCAAGCTTTAGTGTAAGATCGTAAACATTTGCATTATATCTTTTTTGTTGTTGTCTTTTTGGATTTTGTTTTGAAAACAGACACAAGGCAGGCAAAAGTGTGCGACATTGGTGATGGTCTCTTTTGCAAACATATACGTAGAGGCCTAAGTAAGTAAGTTGTACCAAGGTCTCCAAGGTTATCACCAACTTTCCCTTTCAATCTTATACATTATAAAATAAGGAGAACTCTGCAAGGAAAGTCAGGCGAAGTATTATACATCACTCGTTGTTCAAAATTGGTATACAAACTCACATGGTATTAACAAATCAAAACATCATCAAACAGAAACTAACTGTCCAATAGATATGAAACTGACTGTCCAATAGATATGAAACAGACTGTCCAATAGATATGAAACTGACTGTCCAATAGATATGAAACTGACTGTCCAATAGATATGCAACTGATTGTCCAATAGATATGAAACTGACTGTCCGATAGATATGCAACTGATTGTCCAATAGATATGAAACTGACTGTCCAATAGATATGAAACTGACTGTCCAATAGATATGAAACTGACTGTCCAATAGATATGCAACTGATTGTCCAATAGATATGAAACTGATTGTCCAATAGATATGCAACTGATTGTCCAATAGATATGAAACTGACTGTCCAATAGATATGAAACTGACTGTCCAATAGATATGAAACTGATTGTCCAATAGATATGAAAATCGCTGGCACTTTACTTCTAATCATTCCACAGTTTCTACATATTACATTATTCCTAGGTTCGGAACCTAAGTAAAGTATAATATTGAAGGACGAACTGTCGGTGAAAAGCAGAACAGGTAAATGCATTCTCTAGTATACCAACAACTCTTAACAGAATAATAGATATATGCTGTACAATAAGTAATAAATAAAAACCTTTAATAGCAATTAATGCGTACGCATCATCGGAAACGACATCTCGAATTCTCTTTGCTCCTATTGATTCCAGCAAGGTATATACCCTAGAAAGATCATTGGATCCAACTAATTTTCTCAGCAAGGCAACACAGACCACGTGGCCATCTTGAATACCTAAAGAAAAATAAATAATGCAGTTATTTGGAGCACTTGGAAAAGCAGTTTAATTAAAAAAAAATTGAAAATATCAAATGAACATGTCGTCTGAACAGGCGTTAAGCAAGCAACACTCGACCAATCAAAACTATGTACATACACACATGGAAAGTATGGTCATATGTTTAGGGTTTTAAAAACGGTATTTAAGTCAAACTAAAATGATGTTTAAGTCTAACAAAAGAAATAAGCTTTGCGGAATTTCGGTCCGAAGTATTGTCATTATCAAAATTTTGCTGGAAGGGGAACAAGGGGGATGAAAGCGTTAATCGAATAACAGAAAACAGATTTTTTTTTGTGTAAGCGATATTATTTTTTTCTTGCCTTTAATGAGTATGCATGAAAAAGAAATGATGGTGCAATGAGGCAGTAATCTGACGACAAAAATAACCAACAAGTCTACAGATAGCAACATACAGGCTTCAACAACATACAATATAGTCAATCTCTTTTTTCGTCAGAAGTAAATAAATAAAAGTACTGTATATTTTAACTACATTTTGTGTGCTAATGTGAGCAGAATTTAAAAAAAAAAAGATATGCAGATGTTACTGATGGATGGCTGTTTTAACATCCAGTGTCAAATTATATGCAATTTTGGGAAGAAAACATGTTAATGCGATATAAATACTGCCTTGTAATAGCCCGATACTTACCGTACGGCCACTTATAGTTGTTAATGTCATTTGGTCTTTTGTGGAGAGTTGTCATATTGGAAATCATACCACATCTTCTTATTTTTATAGATCCCAAGGTCCGCAGAAAGTCATGAAACCTATTATTCTTACTACGAGCAGACCACTATTTGCTCTTATTCTTTAATGCCGCCTGTATAGCGAAGAAGCAGCAAATACCAATTCTAAAGTTATATTTTGACTCGACCGGGTTCGAATCCACAAACTCCCGCATATCACCACGAGACCATCGAGGCAGGACCTCCCGCATGCTACCACGAGACCATAGAAGCAGTAAGATTTGAAGATGTGAAGTGAATAATTGTATCCCGTTAATAGTTAATAAAAGATATTCCGTGGTGGCGTCAATGAAATTAATAATAAAATACAATTTGCAATAAATACAAACAATAAACGATTGGTCAATACGAACGGCTCTTAAACGGTTGAACGCACGTGATTCGAAACTGAAAATTATTTATATTATATGTACCCTTCCTGCAACTTAGTTTTACTCATTTGTGGTTTTATAAAAATCCCCTGTTAAAAAAGTTAGATCAATATTTAATATAATTTGTGTTCAAATATTTTAATTTTTAATTTAATTAACATATTAATTAACATACTGTTTATAAAAGGCCCTATTTCTTTAAATCCTTTGTCGGTCCACCAGCTCATTTCTCCAGATAGATAAAACACATCTTCTTTATATACTTGTTGTGATGAAGGATCCATCTCATAAACTCTAAGTCCCTCTCTCCAGTCATGTTTCATATTCTCGGATTCCTGAAAAGTGGATAATGTGAACAATTATTGTAACAGTTTTTCTTTAGCATCAAGTGTACAGTTCAAATCCTTTAACATATAATTGAAAATATTATTAAATTGATTCTACAAACTTCCACCATTAGTCAATTTTCAAATAACCGGAATTGTTTCATTTGGAAACACAAAAATGCGAGATATGGTTGTAATTTTTACTTAGTATGTGCATTACACATTTATGATAAAGTATGTGTGCTCCTCAGTCTTTAGACTTTTGTGGACTGTTTTTTGCCCTTTTCGTCGTTTTTTTGTTTTTTATTATGATTATGTCGATGTCTCATCGACTTATTCGATATGAATTTCCCTTTGCTAATTTCCGCACTTTTTGGATATAAAATAGAAGGTTACGAAATTCTCCTTCGATGAAGTATGCATTGAAGAGAGTACAGTCTGTCCTACTTTTTCTGTCCAGATTAAGAAATTAGCAACAAAATGGATATTTGAAAATTGATTCATAGTATTCGGCTTTTGCTGGTTGGTTGTAGGGTTACATTGCCCTGATGAGGTATGAAAGAAAGTAAAATCACAAAAAATATATAAATTGTAACTTGGATGGAGAGTTGTCTCATTGGCACTCATACCACATCTTCCTATATCTATGAACTCCGAGGAAAATTAAAAAAGGAAAGTCCCTTATCAAATGGCAAAATCAAAAGCTCAAACACATCAAACGAATGGATAACAACTGTCATATTCCTGACTTGGTACAGGCATTTTCTTATGTAGAAAATGGTGGATTGAACCTGGTTTTATAGCTAGCTAAACCTCTCACTTGTATGACAGTCGCATCAAATTCCATTATATTGACAACGATGCGTGAACAAAACAAACAGACACAATAGGTAAAAATGTCAAAAATAGGGGTACAGCAGTCAACACTGTGTTATCATCTTAATCACTATAAAACAAACAAATGTAACAAAGAAGCACAAAAAGGCATACATCAAATTTAACATCATCATTTTGCTTTTTTATTATACGACTTTATTTATCTATGTAAAATCCACCCATAAAGGATAGAAGGTTTTAAGTAATTGCCGCTGGACGAAAGCAAACACTTATCATTTATTTGCAGTGTGATTTAAAAAAAAAGTTTGATGGTTTATTTTGTATATTTCTTTGAAAAGACATGATTTTAATACATATATATTAAAGATATCAATACCCTTTAACTGCAACCTGTCAGAGTAGAAATATAGAGGGACATATAAGGAAAACCAATAAAAGTGTCACAGATACATCACTGTTCCATGTAAGGGGAGGGCTTAAGCGCTCACAAACATGATTAAACCCGCCACATTCTTTATATTCAATTCCAAATGCAGGAGCTTGTAATTTAGTGATTGTCGTTGGTTGGTGTTCTTCATATTGGTTTTTTGTGTATTGTTTAGTCATAAAAAAAAACAGGCCGTTGGTATTTTCGTTTTAATTTGTTCATATGTTATTTTTTCGGGCAATTTATAGCTGTCTATACGGTTTGGGTTTTGCTCATTGTTGAGAGTCGAAAGGTGACTAATAAATGCTGAAATCCAAATTATTTTGGATACTATTGGATAGTTGTATCATTGGCATTCATACCATATCTCCTTATCTAATATCATATTGTAATCACCTACCATGCAACTAGCATCGGAGTATTTAAAACTACATTAAAAGGGTGATTACTCAAATCATGTTACTTATAAAGAATCTACAACAAAAGATTTAGAATGGTTATGATGTAAAAGAGAATAATTGGTGTTTGCATAGCATCTAGTGGCAAGTATTTCATACAGTTTCAGAACAATGTCACATTTAAAATACATAAAAACATGTGCTTTGGCAATAAACAAAAGCGAAAAAGGTTTAACCCCTTATAAAATGTATTTAATGATATGTGTAAGCTTTCAGATATTTCACATGCATCTTAATTAACAGCTGAAGATTGTTTGCAGATGAGAAACGCTAATAACTTTGAAAGATATACATTCAACGATAATTTGAGTTACTCCAGGCTTTACAGGGATGTTTTGATGCCAGGATTTTAAGCATAATCTGTAATTTGTTTTGGTGTTTTCTTTTTTCATAAAAGCAAAGAATTGATCACATTATGTTGACCTTTAAACGGATAAATTTTCAATGATATATTCATTCATTGCTTGTAACACCCAGTAATTGCATTTTGATGTCCGGTGATCCTACCTGATGTTTGAAATATAGTCCATCACCTACGCTTAGTTTAGTGACAGTTTTGGTCAATTTTGTCCAGGATAATTTGTCTCTACCATGCAATTCGAGAGTCCCTCCTTGGTCCACACAAATAAACTTCTCGCCACACTGTGGAATACCGGGATTTTCCCCACGAATACCTAAACAAATAAAGTTATGGAAGTAGTGGCTTACTCTTTTCGGAATTTTCGGTTTGAAATGCTCTTCGACTTTTCGTTTTTGAGTTGATGTTCCAATTGTTCTGATTCGTACGCCATTAAATAATCTTACGTGGATGAAACGTTTGGCGTATTAAATTATAAACCTTGTATCTTTGATGAGATTTTATTTAAGATTTACACAATAGTTTAACTCAAATTATAAATCACAAATCTCATGGGAACGATGACTAAAACAAATTTCTTCGTCAATGTGTTAAAGTAGAAAGCTTTAGAGAATAAGTTTAACTATAACAAGTACATACATTTACGTTATAGAGAATTTACGCCAAAGCTTGGAAATGTGTCGTATCGCATTGAAATTATATGTGTCTTCAGTCATACGTTATACAAATACAAATATTGAGCACAACTCTTTTTAATCCTTTATTTACAAGTATAATAAATCGGATTTACCTTTCAGAATTATTTGAGCTTTCTTCTTAAATTTGCAGTTCTCTGATCCAATTTCCATGATTCCTCGTATGTAAATGAAGTATGTTCGTACGACACTATCCCGTGAAGAGTCCCACACCAGCCGGCTATTGGTTTCTATGGCAATGCTAGTCACATCAACGTCAACATCTAGTTTGACATTCATTCCACTTTTTATTGTCACTGTGCCATTTTGAAAAGGTGCCTATGATAAAACTAAGACTTCTTTACATTTTTCTTGAATTTATACTTTTTCTTGCGTTTCAGTATCTAATGGTTTAGCAATATTGCTAATCTTGCATAATTATTAAAACTGTCTTTTTTAGTTTAGTTTTAGTATTTTAACTAACTTTTCTTTCAAGTTTACGCAAGACGTAAATTATAATTTAAAGACGTGGGCAATGATTTACTATGGTCCGGGCTTTTGTTCGACGTATTAAATACCTATGTTGGAAAAGTTCCACTCTCTCGGACCTATTCACACCATTCGTGAAGAGCGGAAGGTTAACATTAGGAACCAAAGCTTAGACGAAAATCCGATACCACTTAAGGTAGATAGGGGGTCTAAAATAAAATCCATTGATTTTTTTAATAATTTGTCAAAATATAGTTTATACCATGATTTTTCAAAAATATAATAAAAGTTATGGGTCACCGGGCTTTTTTTCACGCTACAGGTTGTGCAAAATTGTCAGATTTTGTATAATAGATTATGCATGGAAAACCCAATTACTAAATTAATTACCTAATTAAACTACAGCATAGAATTTTAAGATAAAATATGAAAAGATAGCTCTAATAATATGCTTTCAGATAAGAAAACGAAAAAATGGGGTCACTGGACTCATTTTCTTGCTACATAATAAAATAGTTAAATTAACAACACATTCTATTATAAAAGTTACTTTATCTGAGTTATTTCCCCTTATATGACTAAGTTGAAAAACAATTAATCAAACAAAAATGTTCTGTTTTTTGTAAAATGCATCCGTAAATATGATAAAACACATAATTTTCTATATTAACATGAAAAGTCTTACACATGAATTACATACTGCTCTCCAAATTTGCACATTTCAATAAAGATCTAAACCGATTGTTATCGGCTATTTCAAAATCCAAGATGGAGGAAGACACCCCAGCCACCTTAATAACTTTCCATTTATATTTCCTGTTTCGGGTAAAATTGTTATATAATATCCCTTTTGTGTCCCAATTACGATATTCAATTTATAATACTAACTTCATGTTTATCATCTTTGTATGGTTCTAATGCTGTTGAATCGTACAGCAAAATAATAAAAATCCGTCAAATATTATATAACATCTTGAGACCAACCATAAATAATATTATAACACAGATACATCTTGAGTTGGCCCCTGACACATCAATCAGAAATAATGTATGTATTATTAGTTAATAAATCATAAGACATAGTTGTAATTAATTTGTCCTTTCACCATTAAAACAAAATGTGTCAAAGAAAAAAACATGTCACGATAGTTTAACACATGTTCACGTTTTAGAAAGAGATCTCCTTTTGTATACATTATATGCGCAATTTTAATTCATATTTGGGATTTACAGATCGATGCAATATCAATGTACTTTATAATATATAAAAGGAAACTGAGAAAAATAAAATACGTCCATTACAAAACGACTGTAAATATGTAAAATTTAAAAAAAAATATTAACAATTTCAAATCATTGTAACTCAGATAAATTTTAACTAAATATATAGTGCCGTATCGAGCAAAACATAATTTCAAATTTTCGTTTTTGTTTTTGATTCTTAAATAATCGAATGAAACAGAAAACATATTTACCGGAAGTCCATTTGTTGTCCATGTTTCGCTATCTGACCAAAGCCTCAATTTAGGGTTAGCATCCGGACATTGAGATGCAGTTAGCCGCAAAATATTTAAGACGGCGACAAAATAGATGTATAGAACTGTCAAGCTCTCCATTAAGTTTCATATGATGAGACATTTCCTATCGTCTTACTTTCTTTTTGTAAGGTAATGACATTTGTTAACATATTTCACCACATTAACCTCTGAATGTCTTCAAAGATTCTGTAATTAAACATACGTGTGACTTAATTTGCAAAAGTTCGAATACATAAACATTGCATCTTTGGAAGTGACTGAAGGCTTGGCGGTTTACGTCTTTTATGACGTATCACTTAGACTCAAGGAAGCAAATACATTCTCCTTCAATGAAAATAGCATCTTTTATCCGTTCATAAGCATCGACCCATTACCTTGTTTTTTTTTCTAATCTTTTTTAATTACAAACAGGAACTTTGTGTTTTAATCATCAAAGTTGAAATTCTCTACCTATTTTTCAATCAAAACAAACTATATTTTTCACTTCCCTTTTGAATCAAATAATTTTTAACCAGACATTTTGAATCAAATAATTTGTTAAACAAAACGTAATGCCATACATAAAGGTGAGTAATTGGTACATTACAAACATTATGACTTGAATGGAGGATGGTGAAAGGATCAGTGCACATTTTTTCATTACTAGCTTTTAAAAAATCGTACATCAAAAACAACAGAAAGAAAATGAAGCACACGGCACCTGTTTCCTAAATAACCGTATACAGTAGGGAAAACAAATACTATATAATCACATGGAAGACAATAGAACTAAAGGGCTACAATAGAACAGTCAACGAGTCTCTACGTTCAATTGACTATATATCAGTATAAAGTCAATAACTTTTGTTGAGCGAGATGCGACATTTTCCACTTGAGAGGTCAATTTTGAATTTATTTTCACTTATTATTTACAAACTGATGAAAATCGTCTGGCACAAGGTAGAGTTGGTGTATCAATTACTTCCATGATTTTATTATATAGTCTGAATATACATTCTGCTATACAACACAAAAGGTCGCCTTTTTTCCCGAAAAGTTCTTTTAGAGTATATGCTTCAGTATCCTTCTGATGCTTTGGGATTAAAAAGTAAAATAACAAAAAAAATAAAATAAAATAAAAAAAAAGTTCTTTATCAAGTGGCAAACACAAAAGCTTAAACACATCAAACGAATGAAAAACAACTGTCATATTCCTGACGTGGTACAGGCCTTTCCTTATGTAGAAAATAATGGATTAAACTTGGTTTTATAGATAGCTAAACCTCTCAATTGTAGTCTTAAAGCTCCAACAGGTGTCAGACAACCAATTCACCCACTCCAGTTTAGAATGTATAAAGTAGCCCTTCCCTGACAAAAGATAGTGCTTTCGATGTCATTGTTTACTTAAATTAACCAACAAATTTGCAAAAAAGAAACTGTTGGTGAAAGAGAAATATACTTAGACCATTTTGAGCCAAAATTTACTTGTCCACGAGTTTGCATTAAAAATTGAGGATAAGTGCGCTCCATAGTATACTTATTTAAGATTTCCAGAAAAGTAGGGGTTATTTGTAGTAGTAGTTACCTTCAGACCGTTAGTACTTTACTACAAGACTTTAAACATTGGTTAAAAAGTGACATGTAGAAATTTGATACATGAACAATTTAGTGAAGTTAAAATTAAGGTTAAATATTTAGAAAGCTGTGAAAATTGAAAATTTGGTTGAATAGATAGGGATTTTGAATTGGTGGTCTGACACCTACTATCTTTGATGTAACGTAATTTGATTTAATTTTATTAACAGTTTTTTTCAGATTATTTCCGTGCTACATACTTAAATTTCATCATATGAAATGGATATAGACGCGATGTAGCTGTAAACTTCCATATGTCCTTTCGAAGTGTTGGTCTCAAGGGTTGATCAGTAGTGATATTATGTTTAAAATAAACAAAATGAGCTTGCAGTGCCATTTTAAGACGTGATGTAACTGTAAGCTTGCATTTGAAATTTCAAGTTTTTGGTCTCGAACGAATATTATAAACACTGTTCCAGAATCAATTTTCATGTGCATTTAACATTTATATTAAACTTTTGGCTAACACAAATTAATCTTCTGCACAGTTGTTGAATTGTTGTAGGAGGGAGATGTTTTTTTTAAAAACAAGTGTCTCGATGTTTACGACGTTTAAACTAAAGAAAACTTTACGACAATGGAAAGGATTTCAGCTTTCCGACTTTTGTATGTTTCATCTTTATTTAGAAACATGACAGCAGATCTTTCATAAGGAGTATAAATCCTAAAGTTTGAACGATATTCAAGAGCTTGTGCTTTCTATCATGATTTTCTTGAAAGAGGGTTACTGCTTACAAGGAAGCAATTGAACTGATGGTACATAATGTTTAAATTATATTCAACCTTCTAAAAGTGTTATGGTCGATATTGTTTAATACCAACTGGATATCAACCGATGACAATTGGAGTATATCAATAACGGTCGAGAAAAAATTTAAAATAGGACAAGTAGGTATATTTTAATTCTTTACATATGTATCTATGGGCTTAATGTAGGTGCATAATTAAGGATGTTATTCATCTTATATACGTGTTTTCACTTCAGTTATTTGTAAACTTTTAAATTATGGACACATTTTCACAAAACAGTCAATTGCAGAAGATGAAAATACATGTGAATCATTTTTGTGCATAAGCATAAATTCTGCCGAAAAACTTCACGTGTTGTTTTCAATTTTTTTTGGAAAGGAAACAAATGATAACTGTTAGTTCCAGATTCTTTACTATTTCTCATATATAAGCAGATACTATAAAAAAGCTGTGATTTTTGCCGAGTGGTGTCATTAGTGGAGCAGTATCTTTGTACCTCTCGAAGCACATACAGCTGAGATTGAAGTGTTGTGTAGTCTTTTCCTATGTCTTTTTTACCGTAGCATTTTTTTATACGTAGGATTTCTTTATTCTGCCCCTTTATACCTTCTGGATTTATTTTATCTCTCTTGTCTTTTTGTACAAAAAATCAATTTTTGATACAATTCATAAAAAAATAATCTTCCAATTCATCATCTCCTTGAGTGCTCAGTTTTTAAATTTTCTTTTGCATAATAAGATTAATATGTTGTTACATAACAGTTTTTGATTATTAAAGAAAATAGTCCGTGATCTGCTTTGATTTAAAGCATGTAAACACGTACAATGCGCATGAAATTAGGTACACATAAATAATTATATAATAGACGTATTTACACTTGTTTTCAATTTTTGTCTTCCATTACTTCAAACTACGCAAGTTCTCTCAAAATATTGCATCACAATTTAAAACATTGAACGTCATAATTTAAAAACTGATTGTTGCATGATGTTAGAACGTTATTCGGAGACAGATCTAGGGCCATTCGGAGACAATTTAGCTTAAATACGTCTATACTAACGTCAGCGATTTTACAAGGACGTTATTCTAATATGTCTCTGTTTCGTAGTTATATAACATGTATTAGTATAAATCATGGTTATTATTTGTGTTTTACTACATGTAGACATTTTGCATTTTTGTGACAGGTCGCATTGCATTTTGATTAATATAAAATTTTATAGATACATTTCTTTCTTTTTTTGTTTTCTAATGTTGGTGTTTATCTAACAGGAGTGTCTACTATTGATGGTGTTTTTTTTTTATAATCTACTCTGATTTTATTTTCGTTGAAAAATCGAGATAATTAGCTATGTGATGGCCTTATATATGCACGTACAAACAATGCAATTAAAGATCAAGTATGTGTGTGTGGGGAAGGGGTAGAGCTGGGGAGAGATATTTTAAGGGAAATTCTCCATTCGATCGGTCATGCTTTCTTAATAGCACCTGTCTTCAATTCTTTTTGATTATTCAATGAAACACATGCAGATCTAGAATTCAACTAGAAATGGTCAATATCGTTTTCAAACGAGGACTCAAACTATCAAATATTTGTTGGACTCATACCATACATTCTTGTATCTGTTTTCAGCCAGGAACCTCATTTATTGTGGTTGTCTTTTCTTATACTTTAGTGGTTTGTCATTATGAGAGAGATCTACGATACTTTTTGTCTGCTATATTCATAACTTGTTTTAAAGAGACGGTTTAAAGTCTGGATATTGTATATTCATATGCTTTTTGTTAAAGACCGTATTTTGCATTCCAATGGACTTTTGATGGTCTGGATTTTTTTCCCTCGTTGACAAAAGTGTCATTGATCAATAAAATTACTGATTTCGTTGACACTTTGGATATCATACAATTTACAATTTACAATTTCAATGCCATAAATGGTAAATACTAAACAAACGCGAAGATACTACAATACCTGAGAAATTCATTCACATTCAATATTTAAATTAAAAATCACCATAAACATACTGTAACATTTAAAAAAAAATACATATACATCATACACATTATGTAACATTAAAAAAATTATGTAAAAGACGTATTTACACGTATATGGAAATTTGTCTGTCATAATTAAAAGTAATTGTTGTATGATACCAGAAAGTGATTCGGAAACAGATCTATAACATTTGGAGACAATTCAGCCTAATACACTCGTAAGAAGTTAAATACGTCTATACTAACGTCACCTACTTTACAATGAATTATTTATAAATATACTTCAATTTGCGTAGTTATGTATGGATATTGTGTAAGCATTGCATACGCTGCTTTTTTATTACAAATTGCATTCGTTATAGTTAACAAATTAAAAAGTGTTGGGTATGTGTAGATACACCATAGGAGGGACTAAATTCCACGAGAAAGCTTTGCTTTCGAGTGAAATTTAGTCCATCCTATGGTGTATCTACACATAACCAATGACTTTTTTTTTGGTAAATGACATGTGTCTGTTGATAGTGTTTATCTTACACAATGTCTAATATTGATGTACTACTTTTTCTACTCTGATTCCATTTTCGCTTGAAAATCGATATAATTAGCTTGGTGATAGCCTTATACATACATCATGTACAAATAAGATAATTAAAAATCAACTTGTGTATTGGATGGGGGAGGGGGAGAGAAAGGTAAGATAAGGGAAATAATCCTTTGTTTCCGTTCATAAGTGTGATATAATGTTCCTTTTGGAGGTAAGAATCTTGACTTAACTCGGTATTTATGCATC